AGCTCATGTCCGCCCCAAGAAACGGTGAGTCCGCGCTGAGCTGCCTCTCCAAACAGAAGAAGAAGAAGAAGAAGAAGCAGCCGAAAGAGCAGCAGCAGGAACAGCCACGGCCAAGCACAAGTGCAGGCTAACCGCCCCCCAGGTCAGAGTCTGCTGGTGACCGCACGTTGTGTCTGTGTCCTCTGGTTGTACGGAAAACCTTTGCACCTTTGACTTCACACCACTGTCAGCCCCAGTTACAAAACTCTCCCTCTTGCACACACCACCTCCCATAGCAGGAGAGACCTCATGCAGATCTGTGTTGTTTCACAGTACGAATTCTATGTATAGCAGCTTATATATTTCTGCATTCCAGTGTTTACCGGCTTCTTGTATGGTTAACTTGATTTCCTCAATTAAAAACAGTGGTCAGAACCGGCGCATTTTATTGAGTTTTTAGCCAGGATATGGGGACACGGTCATAGTCCTCTGGCTGCAGGATGCACGCGGGGTGCGTCTCACTCCGCCGCACGGTGTGGATAGAGCGAGAGGCTGGTGAGCTTCGCAGATCACTGTAAAGTCATTTCTGCCTGGGTCCCCGACGTGTGTTCCCGTTTTTCTCCACAGAAGAATCCTAACAGCTCCTTAGCTCTACCTCACAGCTGCTGTCTTGTCTTAGCCTCGCTGGGAGGTGGGCAGGGAAGAGATTGCCGGCTTCCAAGAGAACACAGCTTCCGTGACATCACAGAGCCACGTGTGGGGAAGCCAGGAGCAGTCTGCTGAGTCTGGCTGTGAGGCACCTGGGATCTGGCCTTGGCCAGTCTCTCCAGCCTCGTCTCTCTGCTTCCTTCCTCTGTGTGACAGAACTGCTTGCTGCCCACGGTCTCACGCCCCCATTCTTTTGCCCTGAGCCTTTGTCCAAGCTTTTCCTTGGCCTGTTTGCCTTTTCCTGCCCCTGAGCACTGCTGGCCCCTGAGACCCAGGAGGTGATGTGTTCCTCTCGTGAGCTCCCTGCGGCAGAAGCTGCTTATTACTCCTTGCAGCCCTTGCACTTAGATCAGGGCCCGGTGCAAATATGTGCTGAGGGAACCCGAGACCTCCCGGCGCCTCCGCAGCTTCCTCTGGGCCAGCCTGGGTGAGTAGCCACAGTCATGGGAGAAGCACTGATTTCTGCACAGCTAAGTCTGGGCTTCTAAACAGAACGTTCCCTTGGCCTCATGGTTGGCAGCTGTGTTCCCTCAGTCCCTGTGGGCAACTGCAACGGGGTAGTTGGCCTAAACTCAGATTCAGGTATCACTGAGTGTTGGTTAGGTACTTTTATCTACTTCGATTGTCATTTGGTTTTCCGTCAAGGCCCTGGGACATGAGTCTTATAGTACCCTTTTTTGCAGTTGAGAAAGCTCACTGTGAGTGGCTAAGACTTGCTCAGGGTCACACGGCAGTCAAGCGGCAGAGCTGGGATAAGAACCTTGGGTATTTCCTTGTAGGCCCAAGGGAAGTTGAGAAAACTGCTTTGGTTTTAAAAGTCAGCAGTGTTGCCAGAGCCTGTCTCCCCAGTGTCACCAGTGACTGGGAGAGGAGAATGCAGAAGAAAACAGCCCTAGTCTGTGAAGCCCCTGAGTGACAGCTATCAGAGGATGGCAGGGGGGCTCTCCATTTTCCAAATGATACAGTGGAAGTATACGCAGGGTCAGGGTCCCTTAGCAGCACCTGAGCCATGAGAGGCCTGAGGACACTTGTCACAGGCCAAACAGAGCCACTAATGTCCTGTGACAGCCTGTCCTCGCCCTCTAACAGAAAATTCCTTTTTGTGGGGTAACATGTTAAAGAGCTAGGTTTTAAAAGATAGGGCCAGCCTCCCTGACAGTTTTGCTCTCTGACCTGATGAGGTGAAGCTTTGGTGAGGCCTGTGGTTCCTTTGGCACCTCCAGCCCAGCCCAAGGACAGAATTTCCTGAGTGTATGGACCTTTCACTAAACAAGGACACTCCTACCCGTGCTAGTCCACTCACACGTACAAGCCCCATGGGATAGTAGTGTTGATTTTTGGTGCATGCCAGGTACCAACTATTAAGAAGCCAGGACGAATAGTTGTTATGGAAACCATTTTAATGCTAGGAAAATGTTTTTACCCATTGCCCGAGGAAGCTGTGGGCCTGGCCTACATCCCACGGGACAAGGGGCCCCTGGGGAACCATTTACTGAGCCACAGCCCCTGCCCCTATTTCCGCTCAGCACGGGAATGCGTTTGGTCCTTAGACTTCTTCCCTGTTGGGGAAACCACAGTGCCACTGCCAAGGTGGCGTGTTTTCCCATCTTGCAGTGTTCTGCCGCAGCCCGCTGGGAAGGGTCCATGGGGGGAAGCATCCCACTTGTAGGGCGCTCACTAGGCGCCAGGTCTTGCGATTGTTTTCACATGTAATCTTGTTCCACTTGAACCGATAATTCTGTGATACGTTGTCTCCATTTCACTAATGTGGGAACTGGAACTTGGAGGTGAAGGGACTTGGCCAAGGTCATATAACTAGTTAGTGGCAAAGCTGAAGATCTGAACCCAGGCAGCCTGGCTCCAGAGCCACTCTGTGCTTAAAGTAGGAACCAAAAGCAAGGGCAGTGTTTTTTGTTGCCAGATATTCGCACTGGTTTGTAAAGTTCCCTTTGGAAGGAAGGTAACACATGTGCAGTTGTAAAGACAAACTCTGAAAGCAACCTTCCTTCCAGCTTTTGGTCTGCAAAGAGAAGGCTTTGTGGGGTGGGTGAAGAATTACCCAGGGAGTGTGATTGCTGGCGTGACTTGGTTGCGGTACATAAGCAGGGCAGTGTCCACGGGTGACCGGAGTTTACATTTGTTACTTAAAGCTTCTCTGAATTCTGCCACTCCTTTCCTCCATAGTGCTTTCCCTTCAGAGGCAAGATCTGAGGGCAGATGTGAAGGGAAGAGAGCAGTGGTTTGGATTTGGCCAATGGTTTTATGAAAAATGGGAAAGCAGAGAGGAAGGACATGAAAACAGCCTGCCTCTCTTGGGCATTCTGATTCTAAACTGATAGGATCTCTCCTGGGAAGAGGGTCCCACATGAGCACTGGCAGGCTCTCCGGCCTGGAAACACAGCACAGACACACCTCAGGGGGAGTTTCTCCAGCCTGTCTGCCAAAGAGAAAGCTTTGCTTCTGTGGATGCTACACAAGCTACAAATGCCGTTAAGCGGCAGCCAGTGCTGATTATACTGTGCTCGAGAGCCCAGCTGGAGGCCCGGGACCCATCACAACTGCTCAGAGCAGCCAAGATTCAGCTCAGTGTCCTTCAGTTTGGAAACAGGGATCGTGATACTCACAAAACATGTAACATGTTACCCCACCCTTACAGTATACTTGTCACAGCACTCCTGTCCAGAGCAAGGTGGGATCACTGAACCAATTCAGAGATCAGGGTCAGCTTTACATTCCTGTGAAAAAGTGACAGTCACTCAGCTTGAGCCCTTGGGGGCCAAGTTCCAGCCAAGGGCAGTATGGGAACCTGGGTCCCTGCCTGGCATTAAAAGCACCCTGACATCAGTTTTCACAAAGGCGGAAGACTGACACCAGTCTGACATTTGTGTACGAGGGTTGGGAGCAGTCTGTCACCCAGTCCTCCTGTTGCCCAGTTTGCCTGTCGGCAGACACCACAGCCTGGCACTGCAGCGCCAACAGATTCTAACAGACCCCTGCAGAATGGAACCTGTGAGGCCTTCGATTAAGGAAGGCAGTTCCACACCCTTGCATTCTCCATTTCTTCCCAGAGAGGAAGAGAGCTTGCTGGCAGCGCCCCAGCCCAGCCAGGGCTCCTCGAGATCCTGAGGCAGCAAGGTGAGGAGGTTATTAAGGGGCATATGTCCAGGCGGATGAACAGGGAGACTGGCAAGCGCCAGGGCTCTTGGCTACCAGGCAGTTTCCCCAGAGGTGATCTCCCCACTGCCAGTCTCCGCGGCTTATCTCTGTTCTTTCCCACTAACCTCTAGCCAGCCCATAAGCCAAACAGAAGCGGGGGAAGGGGAAAGGAAGCCAAAGACAGCCTCAAAAAACCTTGTCAGTTCTGCTCAGCTGGAGTCTACGGCTACATGTGCTGATCGATGTCTCCACCTGGCTGAGGATCCATATTCTACTTCCAGGATGTGTTGGGGACGATGAGACACCTTCTTGGTCCCAGACCTTGGGCATTCTCAGTGACTGTCCAGGTGGGGCTGGCGGCAGAACCCTGCAGGGCTGCCCGCCAGAAAGCAGGCAGTCCTGGCCCTGAGGGAGATAGAGGGGCCCAACAATTCGGGCTTCACGCTGATGGCTACAGGCCTCTTTCTAGACTTTGGCATAAAAGTATCTTTTCCCTCAAGTTAGGGGTAAGAAAACAGTCTTGAATGCTTGGAAGTACACTGAAGCCCTCGCATTCAAATTGGCCTCAATTCACCGTGCGCCCAAGTCCAGTCCAACAGCTGACTGGACTTGATTTTTTATAGAACTGGTAAGTCACTCAAGACAGCTGATCTTGGGCTTTTCTTCTCCTATAGAGAGGCACTGCCCCTGGTGAAAATAAACCAGAGGACCCCATTTTTATACAACAATGGAATGTCAGCACCGGCAGGAACCTCCTCCAGACGAAGAATTGGGCCCAGAGAGAGGAGGTGTCCTATGCAAGGTCTCAGAACTGGGGTAGAGCCAGGGCATATGGCTTCCTAGCCCAGAGTTAGAAAACATTTGATCCTCCATGAAGATAAATATTAAAAATATTGCCAAGTTACCACCAGTCCGTAGTGAGTAGACCTTATTCCCAGTGACTCTGCCCAAAAGGCTGCACATTTTCTAACTATAGTCTAAATCGCTTAAAAAAATTGAAAAGCTGTAATGTTCCATTCAGAATGCAGTCCCGTAGGGCTTCCCTGGTGGCGCAGTGGTTGAGAGTCCGCCTGCCGATGCAGGGGACACGGGTTCGTGCCCCGGTCCGGGAAGATCCCACATGCCGCAGAGCGGCTGGGCCCGTGAGCCATGGCCGCTGAGCCTGCGCGTCCGGAGCCTGTGATCCGCAGCGGGAGAGGCCACAGCAGTGAGAGGCCCGCGTACCGCAAAAAAAAAAAAAAAAGAAAGCGCAGTCCCGTTAGGTGACAGGCTCCACTGCATGGCCTAAAATTAATCAACGTTTATCGGCTGTATAAAGGATGTTGTAGTGGGAAGTTTTATAGAGCAGGTAAACGGAAGGGATGGCAGCCTCGGGGAACACGTGGTGGTTCAGGGCCGTGTCCATTTCGTCCACATACTCCACCTGCAGGGCAATGTTCAGTGCCTGGGACAGGGCCGTGATCTGGATGTGGTCACACTCCATGGCCATGGGCTCTACTTCCTGCAAAGGTCACAATGAGAAAACAACCCAGTTGAGGATGGAGGCCTGGCAGAGGACAAGTGAGAGGTCCAACCCTGGCTTTCGTGGTCCTAGGTCAAAACCTCTGCGCTGGGAAATAATCTCCACAACAACCTGTGAGGCAGATGTTGACATCTGCATTTTCCAGAGGAGGAAACGCAGGCTCAGTGAGGAGGTAACATAGAAATTGCCACAGTTACAAGGCTTGAATCTAGATCTTTTTGATTCTGGACCCCCTAGCTGTGAGAAGAGGACACTACTTTGAAGAATCTGGAAAGGGGAGCAGGAGTTTTTCAGCTTGGGCTTCCTAATGCACAGAGTCAAAGAATCTCAGCAGAAAGGGACTTTATCATAAAGGGATTTCAAGCTTACGTGCTTACAGAGGGCTAGGTGAGCGAGTGGGTGAGTCAATGGAGAGACAAGCTGCCTACTGAGTCCCAATAACTAGGGCAGCTGCCATTTAGGTCCTGCTGATTACTGCCGGGCAAGAAGAAGGCCTGGGAAGGACTTCCCTGGTGGCGCAGTGCTTAAGAATCCGCCTGCCAATGCAAGGGACACGGGTTTGATCCCTGGTCCGGGAAGATCCCACATGCCGCAGAGCAACTAAGCCCGTGCGCCACAACTACTGAGCCTGCGCTCTAGAGCCCGTGAGCCACAACTACTGAAGCCCGTGCACCTAGAGCCTGTGCTCCGCAGCAAGGGAAGCCACGGCAATGAGAAGCCTGCACATCGCAACAAAGAGTAGCCTCCGCTCACTGCAACTAGAGAAAGCCCACGCACAGCAACGAAGACCCAAAGCAGCCAAAAATAAATAATATAAATAAAAAATAAGTTTATAAAAAAAAAACAAAAAGGAATAAGCCTGGGGAGCTGGATCTTCTGATTTTTCCAGAGAAATCCAGACATTCATACGAAAATTGCCCAATGTTTAAATGTTGGCACCTCTTTCAGGTAAATACCATACATCATAAACAAAACAGGTCTTGGGCAAATGTGACTCTGGGGTTGCTACTCTGTAATTTTGTGAACAGTCTAGTCCAAAGCCCTTATTTCTCAGATGAGAAATCTGAGGCCCAGAGAGGGAAAGTGACTTGCCCAAAGCCACACAGTTTGGGCAGAAGGAGGATGTGTTCCGGCTTGCTAACCTAGTGCTCTTTGAATTGCAATGTAGACATGACACCCAGGTTCCCTGGTTAGGGAATGCTGGTGCTAAGGTCTCCTAAGGAGAGAGGGATGAGAGCGGAGCCCAGGGCCAGAGGCCGAGTCCCCAAAGCCTGGACCCCGAGGACCTACATGAGTGCAGAAGTCTTTGATGTCCATCTCCTCATCGATGAAATGTCGGAAGAAGTCTCCGCGGTTCCTGATGAAGGCTGACGTGAGCAGGCGCAGGAACTGCACGATTCGGTCCGAGGAGCTCTGGTCGTTGAACACCTTCAGCAGGCTGGACACGGAGCTGTCCTTCTCCACGAGCTCTACCACACTGTAAAACTGCAGCCCTTGGGCCCTCAGCCAGGGGACGGGCAGGCCCCGCCCCTCCCTCCACGGGCATTTCCATCTTCAAATCCTCAAGTTGAGGCGCCAAAATCAATCAATCAGAGATCCCACCAAAGCTCAGTAACAGGGTTAGAGATATTCTGTAGTGAGTCCCTTAGCCCGGAGTCACGTCTAAGGAGCAGCGGTTAGTCTCCCTCCTCACTGCCGTGGTTGCAATTCTTATTTACAGATTCAGAACTGACAGTCTTCCAACCCCACCGCCTTCACTAGTGGGGTCCGGGGAATGGGGTGGAGAGGGGAGGGGCTGAAGGAGGCTGGGGGAAGTTTCCAGCCTGAGAGCTAGTGCCCCAAAGGAGGCACCTCCTCCCAGAGAGACGGCAGGGCCCTGGGCTCCCTGTTCCCTCGATGTCCCCACAAGCAGGAAGCAACCCTCAGCCCTTCCCCAGCTGGGAGGAGCCAGAGGGGCGCAACCACAGAGCCCTGGGCGGTGAGGGGACTCCGGCCAGTGCCCGCTCCTGTCTGCTCTGCCAGCGAGGGAGGACCTGGCCCCTCAGCTGTCGTGCCCAGGTTAACTCACAGCATTAAAGAAGTTTTGGAACTTGTGCTCCTCGAAGCCAGCAGCCAGAAGGTCGTTTGGGGTCTGCAGTACACGCTCTTTGAACCTGGAGGGGAAAGACTGGTACTTACAAGGGACTGCAGGGGGCGCTGCTGTGACATCAGCTGTCATCCCACTCACCCACCACCCCCATACACACCTGAGAGGGTACGTGTCACTTTTCTACTAGGACTTTTTTTCTAGTAGGACTTTTCTACTTTTCAAAGCACTTCCACGTGGACCACACACTGATTTGTTCTGTCCTCCCCTGTACAGTCACGGGAGGTGGGTAGCATACCCATTTCACAGATGAGGAAATTGAGGTAATCACCACCCACTCCCAGATACATTGATTCTACCTTTCGAAGGTCTGTTGACTCTGTCCCTCCTTCCTGTCCCCATGGTTCCTGGTGTGTCAACACCATCTCTGGCCTGGGCCACACCCAACCTTCCCTCACTCCTGGTCCCCTCTCCACAGGGACCTTAGAGTGACCTGCCACAGCCTTCTCCCTCAGGACACAGCTCCTCAGCACAGGTGTCCTGGAAGGGCCCCTGCGGAGCTCAGCAGCCTCATCTCTAGTCAAGTCTCACAGCTTCCCTCACACCCCACAGTCACTACCCATTTGCATTTTCAAACCCTTAGCCTCCACTGTCCCCTTAGCCAGGGATGCTCTTCTCAGAGGTGTGCTAGCGCTGGTTTGTACCTGCTCACAAGAGCTAGTTGTTAAATTTACGCATTTTGCCATCCAGGTGTTAAACAGCTATTGTTTAAGAATCAAGTTATGTAAACTTAAATAACTTTAAAACACAAATTATAATCTGTGCTCTTGAGGTAATCTTTGTCTATTGTGCGTGGATGGTGGCAATATGATTTGGACTATAGCATGTGTTACGTATCTCTTCCCAACTCCCTGTTCAGTGACCCCATGATGGTAGCTTGGAAAAAAAAAATCATGACAAGAGTATTTATACTACAGAAATCGACTCACACCACAAATCAGGCCTCCCCGCCAAACAGCCACTAAAGTTCTGCCAGCACTGACCATCCCTCGAGACCTGGTCCAGGGACCCCTGCTTTGTTAGTGCTCCCACTGCAGGCCCCCCACTGCCACGGCCCCATCTGGGACCTGTCCTGGTCCCCTTGGGGATGGCGAGGAGCTGCCCCAGGACACAGAGTTCAGCAGCAGAGATGAGATACAGTCCAAGTGATTGGTCCACAGAAGGGGGTGCATCCCCCGCAAGAAGGACCAAGTGGAGAGGCTCTGGGGGACCAGCTGGCACAGGCGTAACCGCAGCCTGTCCCCTGGGAGGGGAGACCAGACTCTAGGGTTTTCACGAGGGACTAAAGGCACAATGAGAAAGGCCTGGGAGGCTTAGGTGACTTGTGGGACAGGGGAGGTGAGGGGAGGGTGGTGTGTGTGAAGTGGAACCATCTAACCTGGAAGGTGAGGCGCTTCTGCCGAAAGGCAAACCACCAAAGGCTGGGCCGGCCGGCGTATCTGAGCCCGGTTTGGCCAGGGCAGGTGTAGGAAGGAGTGCTGTGCTGGGAGCCGCAGCCCTGCTGCTAAGTCGCTCTCCGGCTTTGGGCCATAGGCTCCCCTTTCGCATGGCATGGGTGATGGTAACAGGCCTCCACGAGGGGTGCTGGGAGGGCCCCTCTGGCCACTGTTCTGTGAGGGTGTGAACGTGCACAGCTCTGTTCCCAGCTTTCCTACCTTCACACCCTTCCCTCCCTGGCCACACACTCCCGAGCCCCCGCCGCATCCCCCCACTCATTCCTCACCAACCACTGCTGGCCCCGCCGTGCCAGCCCTGGGGACACACAGACCCAGTCAAGCGAGGGACGAACACCCAGGGCAGGACTCCCGCCCTGACAAGGTGAGGGAGGAGAAGGACGGCGTCAGGACTTGGAGCACAGGCCCTCTCAGCCACACACCAGCTTTAGTGGGACCTTGGGCAAGTCACTTAACCTTTCCGAAGCTCGGTTTACTCATCTGTAAAATGGGGTAACACCCTCCTGGTACTTCCCACTGGACCCCGCTTGGATGGCTCACGGGGATTTCGGACTTAGCAACATGGAGCTCCTGCTTTTTTAACTCTCAGGCCAAACCCCAGGCACCCATCCTCGACTCCTCTCTCTGCTCACACACCCCACTCCAGCCACGAGTGAATCCTGTTGGCGCCACCCCTGCAGGGCTCTGCGATCGACCTCCACCTGCTCAGGCCACCGTCACCACCCCTCCTCTGGGCTCTCCCGGATCACGTCCCCTGCTGCTCCCTGGCTGCGCGCCGCTGCATTTATCCTGCACGTAGCAGGCCGCACATCAGGCCCCTTGCTCTCTTGAACCCTCTGTGGCTCCATCTCATTCAGGCCGACATTCAAGTCCTTAAAAAGGCCCGTGAGGCCCTACCCCACCTGCCCCCCCTACCTCTCCAACCCCTACTTAAAACTGCAGCCTCTACCCCTGGACAACCTGGCCTCCTTTCCTGCCTGATTTTTCTTCCCACAACGCTTATCACCGTCTGACACATCAAGTACGCTTCGTATCCACTGTCCCTCTTTTCCTGTTAGGATGCCAGCTCCACAGGCAGGGTGTTTTGTCTCTCTCGTTTGCTGCTGCATCCCCAGGGCCCACAACACAGTCTGCATGTGGCACCCAGTTGGGCGATGGCTGCAGGAGCAAGGGGGCCCCGGACGGAAGGCAGGGTAGAAACCCGCCTCGGCGAAGGAGTTCTGGCGCCGGGGTCCACGGTTCAACCACAGGGGCTCTGTGACCTGTGGCCACTCTGCACTCTTCCCCAGGGTATGTGGGGAAGGGTGTCTGACAAGGAAGCCCGGGGTCTTCATCCAATCCTGTAAGGGCTGTGAGACCTCCAAAGGTAAGAAGCAGCTCTCAGCTCCTTGCTCCCCAGCATGGTCCGAGGCCCAGCGGCAGGGGCGGCTTCTCTGGGAGCTTGTGAGAAATGCGGAATCCCCCGCCCTAGACTTACTGGACTGGGATCTGCATCTGAATAAGACCCCAGGGGGTTTGCACAAATGCTGAAGTATGAGAAGCCTCGAGCTAAGCCAAAACCCGAGGGTCTAAGGGAGGATCTCTACGGGCAGCAGCTGCGGGACAGAGGGACCCTGGACAGCATCAACTCTGGATCCAGGCTGACCAGGTGGACCCCTGGGTTACTCAAGGTCAGCGAGATCATCCAGAACAATGGGGCAACGCTTCTTTGTGTTCTCCTTGCAGTGAGCCTTCGAGAACGCACCCAACGCGACTTGCCTAAGCGCACTGAGACCGGAGGGGCTGAGAGTGCCCGCTAGGTCACTGTCCCTCCCCAGCTGGCCCCTTGGCAGCCCACCCAGCATCCCCTGTGCCCCACTCACTTGAGTATCTCCCTGGTCTTCCCCAGCAGAGATTCCAGGTAGGAGTAGCCCAAGGCCCGGTAGAAGCAGTTCCCATCCCCCTTGGTCTTGCGGATCGCAGTGAACCTTTTGCTGAGTTCCTGCGGGGGGCAGAGGAAATGTGGGTGTCTGCACCAACAGCACCCCCGTCGTGTCCCGTCAGGGCCGGGGCCCCTGCCTCCCCCACGTAACACCTGCTCCCTCCTCTCAGACTGGCTGCCCTTCACGGTGTCCCAGCTCTCATCCCACAAAACTAAAACTACTCAGAGTGTGTCCTGTGTCAGACACTGAGCACGAACGGGGTGGGGGTCCCACGGCCCTGCCCTCGGGAGCCTACAGTCTGAGGTGAGATGGACAGTCAGATGACCGTGACAGGAGGACAGGGGAAGCACCGGGGTGCCACGGAGCAGTGGCATCTACATCAGACTTCAGCAGTCCAGGAAGACTTCCTAGAGGAATGGCACTGAGAGGAGGTGCAGTGGCGTGCATGGTGGGGCAGTGAGGGTGGGCATGCCTGTGAGGTGGGCCAGGAGGCTGCAGAGTCGGTAGGAAGGGCCTCCCCAGCCTTCTCCAAGCAGTCTGGCCAGTCCTTCAAAGGGTTTCTTGGGAGGTGTGGCCTCCCCATGCCACCCGCTCCGGCTCTGCTCCTGGCTGTCAGCTTCCCTCTGAAACGGCCTGGAGTCCCCATGGCTGCCTCCCGGGCCTGCCTACCATCAGGGTTCTGACAGCAGAGCTGGTTTTCAAGGGGTCCCACCAGAGTGGAGCTGACAGGGCCCACCAGAGGCAGGCCGTAGGGAAGGATGCGCTCCTTGAAAACTCCATCTCAGCTCCCGAGGGGGTTCCAGGGGACACGAGAGTCAGTGTGCTGCCCAGCCTTTGCTCCTGCCCCGGCGGGAAGCCGAGAGGTGGCGAGGGGGCACCAGGGGAGCACCCAGGCTCCTTCTTTTTCTGTGACTGTCCCTGCATCCTTCCAGCAGCCCTACCCCCACTTTTTCATAGCCCGGCTGGAGTGGGCTTTCCCTCCTGAGAGATGCCCTTGCAGGGCGGTTACAAAGACGACTTTTATGAGGTCAGCCTGCCTGGTCTAAATGCCAGCTCCTCCACGCACTAGCAGTAGGGCCGTGCGCTTGCCATTTAATTTCTGTGCCTCGTTTCCCTCAGCTGTAAAACGCGGGTAATAGAAGTTCTGACCTTGCAATGTTGTACTGAGGTCTCAGGGAGAAAGGAAACACTTAGGAGACTGCCTAGCTTTTTAAAAACAAAAGTGCTATTTTTTTTTCTCTTTGCAGCGAAAGGATTTCTCATTAAGGCAAATGCCCAACATCACAATATTCTGGGAGCCCTTTAATTTGCCCAGGAACCTGGTCCAAATGCGAAGCCTTTTTTACCTTCAAAGTGGCACCTCTTTCTCTGCTCCCAACTCCAGCCCATTTCATCTAGGCTCCCCTTCTTCTGACCCTCTGCCTTACCTGGATTTTCCTCTGGTAAATCCTGTTTTCAGGATGATCCCGAAGAATTGATAGAGTGTCACATTTTTCTGATATTAGGTTGAAAGATGCTTCACTCTGAAAGACAGAAAAAGGAGTGAAACTGTAACAATTTTCAAAAGCAGCTGTTGGGCTTTCACCAACAGAAAGCCTCTGAACTGCTGGCTGCAGGACACAGTGAATGTTACCTCCCCCCGACAGAAGCACCTGCGGGTGTGTGACTAGTATCCCAGACGCTATGGTCCCCGGCGGGCAGGGAGCCAGGGTCAGGCCCACCATACAGGGGTATCAACTTGTAACTTCCGAACTGATTCGTTTTATAGAACATAATACCTCAGTGCACAAAAATAAATTCAAAACGGTTTAAAGATTTAAATGTAAGGCCTGAAACCATTAAACTTCTCTAGAAGAAAACATAGGCAGTAGGCTGTTTGACATTGGCCTTAGTAACATTTTTTGGATATGTCTCCTCAGGCAAGGAAAACAAAAGCAGAAACAAACAAATGAGACTACATCAAACTAAAAAGCTTTTGCACAGCAAGGGAAACTTTCAACAAAAGGAAAAGGCCATCTACTGAATGGGAGAAGATATTTGCAAATAATATATCTGAACAAGGGGTTAATATCCAAAATATATAAAGAAGATATACAACTCAACATCAAAAACACAAACAACCCAATTAAAAAACGGGCAGAGGATCTGAATAGACATTTTTCCAAAGGAGACATACAGATGACCAACAGACCCATGAAAAGATTTTCAGCATCACTAATCATCAGGGAAGTGCTAATCAAAACCACAGTGAGGGGCTTCCCTGGTGGCGCAGTGGTTGAGAGTCCGCCTGCCGATGCAGGGGACACGGGTTCGTGCCCTGGTCCGGGAAGATCCCACATGCCGTGAAGCGGCTGGGCCCGTGAGCCATGGCCGCTGAGCCTGCGCGTCCGGAGCCTGTGCTCCGCAAAGGGAGAGGCCAAAAAAGGGAGAGGCCCCCGTAATGTAAAAAAAAAAAAAAAAAAAACCACAGTGAGGTATCACCTCACATCTGTCAGAAAGGCTATTATCAAAAAGACAACAAATAACAAGTATTGGTGAGGGAAAGTGAACACTTGTGCACCATTGGTGGGAATGTAAATTGGTGTAGCCATTATGGAAAACAGTATGGAGATTCCTCAGAAAAATTAAAAATAGAACTACCATATGACCCAGCAATTCCACTTCTGGGTATTTATCCAAAGAAAACAAAAGCACTAATTAGAAAAGATATATGCACCCCTATGTTCCCTGCAGCATTATTTACAATAAACCAAGATATGGAAGCAACCCAAGTGCCCATCAACAGATCAATGGATAAAGAAGATGTGGTATATATATGCAAAAGAAGATGTGGTATATATATGCAGTGGAAAATTATTCGGCCATAGAAAAAGAATGAAATACTGCCGTTTGCAGCAACATGGATGGACCTAGAGATTATCATACTAAGTGAAGTGAAAACAGAGAAAGACAAATATTACATGATATCACTTATATGTGGAATCTAAAAAAACAAACGAACAAATATAGCAGAACAGAAACAGGGTCATAGATGCACAACGCGCGATACGTATTTGTCCCCAAATGCACACACATTCACAGGAAAATGACTGTTTACCTTCTACTGGCAAATCTTACCCCATTTATCTTTAGTATAAAAATATGTCCATCCACTACAATAAGATAAAAAACGTGTAGGACTTCTTGATAAATTCCCTCACACTGATGTTCCTGGAAACCGCTGTTGTCTTTGCTCCAAAACTTGCTAATATAATAGTTGTTGCTGTTTCTGTAAAAACTGCACCACTTCTGGACTTCTTAGTAATGACCGTCTTTTCTGATTTAACACTTGTTCTAAAAGAGTAGGTCTTGCAGGTCGATCCCCAAAAGATCCTGTCCTCTGTTTGACAGTGGAGAGCGTATCACCTGCACTTTCCTCAAGTTTGACGTTTCCTGCGCCGCCAGGCTGGGCGGCCCCACCGCAGTTCAGGGCCTGGTGGCTTTTCTTCTTCTTGTACTTATCCTCGTACATCTGGTTGCGGTGCTTCTCGCACATTCACGGCTTGTGCTGCTTGGCCACCTGGCTCGGGGTCTAGCTGCAGCCCTCGTAGGTGCAGGTCTTGCTCACGCTGCCCCCGCCGCTGCCCCGTCTCCGGGCTCCACCGCTGCCGCCCTCTCCCCCAGAGTGGGTCCCCTCGTCCTCCAGATCCTCCAGACTAGCCATGCTCTCGCCTCCCCCCGGGGGGGTCTGAAGTGTCCAGCAGGTCTGCCTCGTCTTCTCCCGCCTCCCCCTCGCCATCCCCCCCGCCACTTGGCACAGGTACCGATCGGGCAGCCCGGGCGCTGCCCCCCCAGGGCCGGAGCCTGCCGCAGGGCGCCCTCGGCCACAGCCTCGTTCTGCCCTCCACGGGGGCGCGTCACAAGCAGGGTGAACTGCGAGGCCGCGGCCGGGCCGGGGGAAGGGGCGGGGGCCCCGGGGCGGAGCGCGGCCCTCGGCGACAGCCTGCACCTCCGCGCTACTGAGACCTGGCGGGGGTCCACGACCCCGACCCTTCAGCACCTGCCGGGCCCAGCTGCACTTAGCAAACCAACGGCCGGGAACCCACTAGAGGAAAAGTCCCCGGCCATCGTTTTTGACAGCTGTCACCGGGCGGCCTCTCAGCCTCCTCACTGACTAGACAGTGGCCTCCACCCAATACCGCAGTGCTTGAAAAGGAGCCTTCGGTGTTACAAACCCCTTCCCATCTGGAGAAATGGGTTGGATTTTGATGATGAGATTCTCCAGAGCTCACCACCGGAAGCAGAGAGCTGGCCCACAGAATCGTACAATGAGGCGTAAGGGACTTCTAGGCTTACGTGGTCTCCACCCTGGACAGACTCTAAACTTCTGTCTGACAATGAGCTTCTTTGGCTCTGATTCCTGTACTTGGCATCCAGGCTCTGTGACTGGGAATCGGCATTTCTGGGGGGCCTGGAAGCTCCCAGCCCTCAAAGGCTCCAAAGTCACGCGGGCCTCCCTTGCCAGCGGGCAGCTGTCAAGCCATCTGAGACCTTCCATTCACTTGATTCCCCAGGGGCCCTCACAGGGCCCGAAGCAGAGCAGGGGATGAGATGTTTGTTAAAGGAATGAATAAAAGCCATCTCCCCGGTGAAGCCTCCCTGGTTGCCCCACCTCATCTGAATCAGGCTTGGGCCCTCCCTTGAACTCATGCTTTGTTCCTTTTTCTCCCTTTCTGGTGGCCCCAAACATGCCCTCCCGAGATGTGGGACGCCCGGGCATCTTCCCAGACGAAAGCCAAACAGTGAGAAGATGAATGTTGTCCCTAAAAACAGCAGGAAAAGTATTTCTAAAAGAAGGAAGAGAGCGTGCAAATGCTTGTGGGTGGGTGAAGGGATTCTAGGTGTTGTTTCCGGAAGCTTCTATTCTGTACCCAACCTTTGTTGCAAAATTAAGTCAGTCTCAGGCTCCTTCCTCACTTCTGCTCTGACACCACAATGGCAGGCTGGCAGAGCCATCAGGAGGAATCAAATAACCATCCTGGGGCAGATGCTATGGGCTGCTTTCCCATCAGCCATTACCCATTTCTTCCCTACAAACAGGATTCCTGTTTTACTCTGGGCAATGTGATGGAAAATGCCTAGGCTAAGTCATGACAACCCTAACCTCCTCCTTACTGATTTTCCTAGCCTCCCTTGCAGCTGTGGGCAGCCAAGTGACCGGGGCTGGCCAACTGGACTCACAAAAAATCTGCTGGGGGCTTTGGGGAAGGCTTTTAGTTTGGTATGTAAAGAACAGAGACAGCACGTCTGCCTCCTCCTTCTTCCTGACTTAATACTGATGCAACGTCTGCATTCCAGTAGCCATCCTGTGACCATGAGGTTGAAAGCCAACGCATGGAGGATGGTTTGATGATCTGCTGCTACCCTAAGCCCAAGATGTATGAAATAATAACGGATGCCATTACTGTACACCAGCTGTGTGGCCAAGCTCTGGGACCGAGGCTTACATATTCCCGTTATTTCATTTAATCCCGACTGACAATTACTAAACCCACTCTACTGACAAGGTTGGGTCCCTTGTGCCAGGAAGAGGTTTGCTGCAGTTCTGCCTGACTCTGAAGCCCATGGAAATTCTACCAAGCCAAACTGCTAAGCAGACAGAGCTCAGAGTCCAGGAGCTCTAGAGGGACCAAGGCTGCTAGGCCTCAAAGGAACACTGTGTGCAGGGCAGTCTGGGGCCTTCTCACCTTCAGGCTGGGCCCCTGCAGCTCCCCCTCCATCCATTACAGGCAGAGTGCTCAGCCCCAGACCTCAGTGCCTACAGCAGGGTCCCCCAGTCTGAGGGCTGCTCATCACAGGTGGAGTGAGAGATCATTTATAGGTGATGTCTGGACATGGGGGTTAGAAGACATTGGTGACATTGGGAGCGAAAATTAATCTCTTTTCAACTTTCTTCAAACCTTCTAATTGCACCAAGGAGAAAGCAGGCTTCCAGTGTACCTTTAACTCCTTTCCAATTTGCTAGCCTCTTTTGAAGGGTGAGAGGGCCTCTGACTTGGAGCATAAAATGTTCCATTTTCATTTGCAATTTTTTTAACTTAAAACAAAACTTGTTAACTTTTTAAAAATTTTTTGGCCATGCCTCGCAGCATGCAGGATCTTCCCCGACCAGGGATCGAACCCACACCCCCTGCAGTAGAAAGCAGAGTCTTAACCACTGCACCGCCAGGGAAGTCCAAAACATTAACTTACTAACTTCATTGGCATAGTTATAAAAAGTGAACATGTTTGGACCTATTCTAAATCATGGAAGACTTACATTATTGGCATAATAAATACCAATGGCTGGTGTACAGTTAATTTTGCACTCATACGGTGTGCTCATAAAGCGAATAGCCACGGGATCCCATGAGTTTCAGAATTTAAAAATCCACCTCTGCTGACCCGAGGGTAAGGCAGGATGACAAACAGGTACTATTCAGAAACAGCACGTGTCCCCACTCAACAATGCCCATCTCACGCACTCACCCACCCGCCGTCTCCTTTCATTCCAAAGTCCCATTATTTACCTATCACCAACAAAAAGTCTTGTTTTTACCCACAGCAGACTTAAAATTACGGCTTGGGTCTTTTTAAACAATGGATGATTAAAAAGCAGCGCAGCTGTATTGAACGCTGCTCACGCTTGGAGTGGCCCCCAAAAGAGACGACAAATGGTGTGGGAGGATGCATAAAATCAGTTCTATTTGATGGGCAGTTTCTGAGAAGGTATCGCTGGGAGAGTGGAAAGGAGTATAAGGAATTAATCTTACATATGTAGAGATAAGTATTTAAGATGTTAGAAAGCCCACCATCACCAGTCAAAATGAGAATGTTAAAGGTGGGTCAGGAAGGGGAAACGGGCCTCACTCAGGGAAGCCTCCCTAGCTTTTCCACTTGCCATAGTCATATCGACTGGGCATTCGAGACAAATTTACTTAGGCTATTTAAA